CGCACCGCAGGGACGCTCTCTTGTTACTGCGCGATATCGGATGGACTCAACAATGGGACCGCAATGGTCTGCTAGAGGGCAGGACCACCTATCGAGATGTATTTCGGTGCCCAAAGGCGAGGTCAAAGAACGAAACCGACAGCGAAGGTTCAGCGCAGTCAAGCTTCTGATGCGATGCGTCACGCCAAGCGTGAACTGCGATTTAGGCAGGCAGCATTTTGGGCGTTAAATATTAGTATATACGAACTTATACCACACTCCTCCGTATTTTGCATCAGAACTTAGCAAAAACAAGTCTGGTACAAAGTACCCCGCACGCACACGGTTAATGATGGCAGAATGAAATACCTACGTCATGGCTAGTTTCAAGGCCGTGAGGGAGCCACGGCATCCGGTCTGGGAGACGACCAACTTCAATGACCATGTTTCACACGTCTAATGGTGGCACCGCGGTCCAGCCGGCGCGCCAGACGGGTGTCTTTCCAAGGCCAGTCTCACAAAGTCGTCCCAAGTTGGTGATACCCTGGACAAACCATGTCCAGCGGCGTCTGTGCGTCTAGCGGCTGGCGACACAGTCCAGGTGCCGAGCTGTGCTGTAACCGTTACGACAGTGAGTCGGGTGCCGTGTGCCAAAGACAGAAACAGAGCGCGAACACAATACGCACGTAAACATTGTCTTCTTTGCGTCATAGTTGCCGTCTAGAGACGCTCCAAATAGCTGGCGAAGAGATAACGGCTACGTTCGTGAACCGCTTGTTGTTCTGTTGTTGAGTTGGTGCACAATAGAATTAGTTGTGACCCAATTTCATTCATTTTTGTTCATGCCGTCTTGATGTTTGGCGCAAAGATGCCGCAACTCCATTGTTCACACCCAAAACCGTAGGTGTGGATACATGTGCATTGTACTTACAATGGCATTGGCGTCATACGTATCCAAAAACTGAGCATTCTGAGAAGCACATTTGAATTAAGATAGGCTTTCATTTCATCAATGATCAATTATAACTACATGACAGTGTCTCAAGACGTTTGTTTATAAACAACTTATAGATACTTGGGAGCGACCAGTATAACCCTGCAGGCCCGCGACTATCTCAATTTTTCCGTTCAAATCACACTGCTTCATCTGTTCTTCATTGCCGTCTCTAAACGGGATCTGGATCATGATCCCGTCGTATCGTTATCATGCACATGCAACGCTCCCGGCCGACGGACAAAGCCCCTGCATGACCTGCGTCTTGTGACACGCGTGGTTAGCGCGCATGACAGCAGATTCCCAGTGGTTAACGCGCCGTGGCATTAGACGCCGCGGGTTTCACGCTGTGAGCTCGAGCCGGTAACGTGACACGAGCGGTGGCTAACCCACCACGGTGGGGTCGGCTACCGTCAGAGCCACTGCGCCGCACACTCCGGTGGCAACGACCCGACCGGTGACCTTCGACAGGTCGTCGTACCTCTGGGAGGTCTGCTGCACTGATGCTCAGGGTGCAGGGTGATTAGTTGACGTGCGAACTATTATAAGTACTTAAACATGCATGCATACTTTTATTTTTCTGCCTCGGCTTGGGTTAGTGCTTCTTGCGGCAACAGGGTAGTTTGGAGATCCTGTGAGGGTCGGTCCAGATCAGGAAACAAAAATGTCCTTCAATCTAGCAGCAGATTGATATCAATCGCTGGTAGTTTCCAAATCGATCGTTCAGACGGTGTAGCAGAATCGATCACTCTAACTTCTCTGAGGAAGGTCTTTTGACGTGACCCGTTGACCTGACCTTGAGAGACCTGGACCTGAAATTTTAACAGCACGTGCAAAAAATGCATTAACAAAGGTGACAAAAAATGGCAGCCCTCTGCGCAGCAATTTTTTTAGATAGGTAGGTATCTGCGGAACCCGCAAAGGGGGTGTTCAAACACCTTCTGGCCCGGCGCGGGTTAAGGGGTCATCATAATGCCCAAAATGCAAAAGCGTTGCATCTGACCTTGCAAGGAGTGTAGGAAATCACAATTCCATGTGGCTGGGATGGGTAGGGGATCCTTCCATTGCATGACTAACGCTAAAATATAACTTCAATACATCCCATTGTCAGATAACGGTGAGGTCACTGGACCAACCTGACCTCGGGTGACCCTTATAAAAAATATCCGACCTGACCTCAGGTGGCCCTGATAAAAAGTATGAGACATTCAAGTCGTGAGGACTCGGGAGCTTACTACTTCTGCAAGTTTCAGCCATTTAGGAAACTTTCCCTGGCACTAAGGGTGTTGGGAAGTTGTGACATTTTTGGACCATGCAGAGGTTCACCATGACACCGTGACCTAACCTGAAAATACGGTTGGGCTCACAAAATTTGGCTTCGAGCAATAAGTGTATACCAGCTTTCAGTCCTATCGCTAATGCGTCCAGGTCAGGTCAATGGCGAGGAAACCATCAAGTGGTGGCTCCAAGGGCCCCTCGGCCGGCGAGGGCTATAGGTAGACGCAAATTTCAGTTGATAAGTAGGTAGGTAGGTAGTCATGATTTATGTACGGTTCGCTGTCTAACGTACGTAATTGCAAAAGTACGGACAAAATTACGTACGCAAATGTACGTAAGCGATATAGTAGGTACCTACGTAGGACACAAGTACGTAGGCAAATGTTCGTAAGCAAAAGTACATATGCAAAAGTACGTACCTATACCTAGTATTAAGCACGTAGGACAAAAGTACGCAAATGCTCGGCCGCAAAAGAACGCATATAAAATTACACAGTATAAAGTAGGTACGTGGGACAAAAGTACGTACGCAATTGTTCGTACGCAAAACTAAAAGTATGCATACAAGTTTCGTTTCTCTATTCGCGCATTGCAACGATATCGACAGAGAAGTAAAGAAGGGCAACTGCATAGTTGCCCCCCCCCCCAATGCAGGCGGGTGGCGCGGAACAAGAGCGCGGAGGCCGGAGACCCAGAGGCCCAGCGCCAGTGGGCTAATTTACCTTCGCCCGGGTGACAGGGGGGGGGGGGGGGGCGTTTTTGGCCACATGTGACTTTTAGGAAAAATCCGAGATAGAAATTGTGAGAACTCTAGATAAAGGATACTACATCCTTGATCCTGTAAGTTTAATCTCCCTGTGAAAGTTCCCCTGGCACTGACAGCGTTTCGAAGTTGCGACATCTGAGGACCGTGCAGGGGTTCACTTATGAGTTATGACGTCATAAGTCAGTGAACTGACTTGACCTGAAAATGTGGTTAGTGTCACAAGATGCGACTTTGATCAAAGGCCAAGTATGCTGATTTTCAGCTCTCTATCGCCGGCGTGTTCGGAACTATCGCGAAAAAAAAAAACTATGGGGGGATGGGTGTCGGCACCCGCCCTCTTCGCCCTCGGCCGGCGAGGGATAAATTAAATGGGCGCAAAATGACCTTTGCAGTCGACGCAACTCAAAGCCCTAATAAACAAGCAAAGTGCTAACACAAATAAATAACTCAGCAGTCAGCATTTATTAGTAAATAATCGGGGAATATGCTATTACCAAACTTAGCGCACTTCAGACAAAACATAGGATACACACACACAGAAAAATATTAACACCGTTAGCGGTGTAATTGCACAGTACATATCTGAGCACTTGAGGAAAGTTAATTTAGTCCCTTCCCCGCTTAAATTACTCGCGCTTCCAAATGAACACCAGGAAGAAGGTAATAGAACACTGTTAGGAGGGTTGGGTGTTTTGCTACATGTAGTAAAACACCCAACCCTCCTAACAGTGTTCTATTACCTTCTTCCTGGTGTTCATTTGGAAGCGCGAGTAATTTAAGCGGGGAAGGGACTAAATTAACTTTCCTCAAGTGCTCAGATATGTACTGTGCAATTACACCGCTAACGGTGTCAATATTTTTCTGTGTGCAGTACACTTGTGACACGTAGGTACCGTCACGTGCACTTGCGATACCTACCTACGGACTTTTGTCCTTGACGTATAGTTTTGTCCATACCTACGTAGGTACTCGGTGCTTTTATCCATACGTACTTTTTACTGTACCTACTTCTGCGATACGTACTTTTGTCCTTGACGTACTTTATACTGTACCTACGCTACGTACTTTTACGATACGTAGGTACTTTTCTCCTTTAGGTTAGTACAAGGGCCCTGTTCAAGTGTCTGCGGCCGCCGCGGCTCCCGCGGCCAAAAAGGCGGAGCTTAGCTGGCGGCCAATCAGGCGAGAGCAGCATTCTGGGTAATGCGTAGCTCTTCCTGCGGCTCCCGCGGTCGCTCGGGAGCGACCGCAGGGAAACTTCGACATAAACTGCGCGCGTGAGACAAAACATTGCGGATTTCGCTCTTTGTTTCGGTTGATTTTATTATGTTGTTAAGGAATACTTGCTTCAAAAAGGTACTAATTGAAGTAATAAAGCCATTATAAAGCCATTACACACAAAATTTTGATCAGCATCTCCTTTCAAAACAACCGTGCCACTCTCGTCGTCGGCCGCAGCGGCCGCAGCCGCGAGGGTGTTCAACCTAACCGAAATTAGGCTCCGCCTCCCGGCCGCGGGAGCCGCGGCGGCCGCAGAGCACTTGAACAGGGCCAAGGCTATGGTTAGACTTTGGTCCATACGTGTTTTATACTGTACGTACTTTTGCGATACGTACTTTTGTTCTTGACGTACTTTTGGCCATACGTACTTTTGCTTACGTACTTATGTCCTCAGTCATGCGTTGGCTACGTTACGTACGTACTACGTACTTTTGTCTGTAACCCGATTTATGTACTTACGTTCCCGAAGATAGAAACACTACCGACATCTATAGCGATCAGGCACGACATCTATCGAAAGTCCATATTGATGACAGCTGTTTACGTCGTCAGCGCTAGCACATTCAAGCATAGACCAATCAGAAGTGAGGTTCATCTGTGACGAACAGTTTTTCGGGTATGTGAACACAAAATTATGTGACGAATTCCAACGCTCGATACTGGAGATTCGTAAAAAGAAATCTCCGAACGGTGTGTTGTCGGGTGGGTGTTGTGGACATTGGGGGATTGCGGATGATTTTTTTCATAAATCTATCGAAAGGGTAGCTTCTGAGTGACCTCAATATTATAGCAGCTGTTAGGCGCGATGTCAATGTCGATGTTGATGTTGGCGACTATGGCGAGTTTGAGTTCATTGGAGTCTAGCTCAAGCTGTGAGGAGTTCAGAACGGAAAAGGCATTGTGAATTGTGATTAACATTTACTTTAATTTCGAAAGTGGCATTTTCAAGAAAATGGCATGGGGCATTGTTATGCATTGGTATTGAATCTACTGTTCACTCGGACACAGAATAGCTAGAACGGTGTAGGTATATAGCCTTGGTTCAGGTTGGAAGTTTGGAACAGTGAGATGCTTAAAAAATCAAAATACTTAAAAAAATGGTTGAATCATGTAGTGTTTGAAGGCTCATTGAACTTACCTTTGGTCTAGGTCAGAGTGTTATATGTTCAATGTGACAATCAAATAAGGATGGTTCTAGTATGAATAATGTTAGAAAGTAGGTAACTTGGCGTTCATTAATAGTGCGAGAGCGGATGCCACGTCAAAGTTTTCCAACCAAGGAGAGGCGCTGTAGGTTTGCAGGTTGTAGATTGTAGGTAAGGTTAGGTCAGGTTAGGTTTGTTTTGGTTCGGTTAGAAAGAAGCATCTCCTGGTATAACACATCTCCTTGGTTGGAAAACCTTCATGTGACAATTAACAACCAGGTAGGTACCTACTCTACTAATACCTTGCTTTTGTGACATAAGCTTAATTTAAGAAATTCAAGCTGTATGTTTTTCATTTCCTGTTCAAATGCTGTGGCCACACTTCCAGATTCAGTTATTTCAGTTATTATTCTCAAAATTTCAGAGTAAAAGCAGGCAGCCTGCCACTGATACTCAGAATTTTCTGCTATTCTACGAAAGACTGCTGCTGCTCGATCACCTCAAGCTATACCCATTGGAATGGGACCCAATGTTCATTGCAGTTTCATTTGCTAACTCAGATTAGGATTTTTAAGCAATGTTACTGAGCCTACAAACAGTTTTTCAGTCCATTCAAAGTTGACTGCAAAGTGCAAAATTACTATTTTCATTTTGTTATCAGTTGACATTTATTCATTGTGACATTTATTCATTTTCTCATTTTAGGTGTTATTCTCAGTGAAACTCAGAAGCTGGACTCTCCAACTCAACAACAATGAGTGTCAGAAGTGGGGCAGCCAATGACAAAGCCACTGATATTCTCTCTGGAGGCAACAAAAACAACAGCACAAAGATCAGTCAAGGTAAGATAATATTATTCTTATTGTTGTGGATATTTATATAGCTTATTATGTATGATTCACATGCAAGTGAGTGGAACTGTACAATGCCTATAGACTTACATGACTGCCTTCAAGAAATGCAGAGTGGGGACCATTTTATACAGGGGTCTTGTAATATGTCAAGCACCTGAGGCTGAGGGACTTGAACCGGGTCCTTAATTATAGCCACCTGTTCTTTGGCGTTCTGCTAACTTTGAACTATGTATAGGTACATGGCTGTGTAATTTTTTATGCATGCCTGGTCATCCCAGTTCTGGTGTATATGAGGCCAATGGAGCGTGACATTGGGACTCACACTTCCCCATTGATCTCACGACTATGCAACTGTGTTGCAGAGGCTATGACCGAGGAGGCCCTCCTGGCTAAAGGTGTGATCACACCAGAGGACGTGCTCCGGCTGGATAACATTACACAGAGTAAGTGTGTTAGCAAACTGCCGCAAAGAGCGGGAGCCTCGGAGAAAGAAGTTGCAAAAATAGTTATGTAGCAGGATAAGCAAAATGTCATGCTTCCAGCATAAAGTGCCAACCTAAAGTATTTTTAAAGGCTTGGCTACACTATGCGTTTTCTGCGTGCGTGTTTTGCGAGTTTGCGTGATTTGCGTAATATCGTTCTAGAAAGAAACGACCAGGGCTGCGGAGTCGGAGTCGGCGTCGGTCGGAGTCGACAGTTGTGACCGGAGTCGGAGTCGGAGTCGGAGTCGGAGTCACCGAAAATCTGTCGACTCCGCAGCCCTGCCAGGTGTGCGGAGTCGGAGTCGGGAGTTGGAGTCGATCGGAGTCGACATTTCTGCCCGGCGTCGGAGTCGGAGTCGGAGTTGGTTTTTGAAAGCCGGAGTCGGAGTCGGAGTCGCCGTAAATCCATCGACTCCGCAGCCCTGGAAACGACATTACGTTTTTGTTATATGTTTTTCATATAAACTTTTAATTATTATAAAAGTTTTATTAACTTTTATATAAATATTAAAGAAGTTATATTAATAATAAACTTTTTTCTAGAACTGAAATCATGCAAACTCGCAAAAAACGCACGCAGAAAACGCATAGTGTAGCCAGGCCTTAACAGAACACAGTTGCGTTCAGGCTTTGAAGCTCATTTTTTAATCGAATAGAGACGTAGACTATACAATGCTAGACAGAGCAGAGTTAGGAGTGCAGTTAATGTGTATAAGTTTGTCCGTGATGTAACTTGATATATTAAAAATGCAACATTGATATGCAATATCATGAACTCCTGCAAATGTTTGGCTGCCTTTGGTGCAATACTTTTGTGTCGACACTTTATTTGGTGTATTCTGTAAAACTGCGTATCATCTTATGGATAACCAGAATACAGACTGAATTCGACTCTGTACGAAAAAAGGCGACTATGTTGAGTGTCGAGGTCCATGCATTATGTTACCATGACAGCAGAGCCATTGCGTGACCACGTTTCCGCCGTGCTGTCTTTTCTTGCCTGAGCCTTTTACTCGTCTCATAAGGTCAATGGAGAGACCTCACATCTCTACAACACGGCGGGGCATTCTGCGTTAAGGTTAGCGTGCAATGTTTGATAATTACGCTCCAGTATTTAGATTTGTCATCTGAAGTTCCAACCTTACATATTACAGTCAGCACTTGGCAACTTTTGAACAGTGATCATTGACCACCTAACCAATTTTCAGACTACCTGTGTGCTCCTGAGGCCAATGTTTACGAGATTGACTTCACACGGTTCAAGATACGCGATCTAGACAGCGGTGCAGTGCTTTTCGAAATCGCCAAACCTACTGTTGGTAAGTTAAGAAGATTTTGTGCTTGTGCGAAGTCAATCCTTTATCCCATCAACTCTATGTGAATAGAAACGCCAAACACTGATACGATTAAGAGCGAATCTTTGATCAATAATCATGCCATCCGTCCCTTTGATATACACCTGGGACCTAGTGACTCCCTGTAATTGACTATCTGTCGACAGAATTTGAGCCAGAGGAGGGCGGTGAGTCGGAGGAGCTGGACCACAACGCTGGCCGCTTCGTGCGCTACCATTTCACGCCCAAATTTCTCCAGCTGAAGGCCATCGGCGCCACGTGAGTCGGAATGGATGGTGTGGGGATGGGCGATGGAGCTGGTGGTTTCCGTCTGTAGACAGGACAGGGCTTATAATGTCTTATTGAATGAACTCAGTGTGAGTGCAGTCACAAAAAAATAAAGCACGCATTGTTCGAATGAAAGTGGTGTGTGCAGATAATTGGTTCCCAATGACACCGTTAAATAGGTGCTGAATGTACAATATCGTCCCTTGAGCGACTACGAAACAGCGTATAGAGAGGTTTTAATTGTTCCCATCGATCGTTAAGGTTATGGACGCATATTGCTTTTTGTCGACGCATCAATGAATTGCTTGTTCATCAGTTGATTTTGTGAGTACTGATTGCAAAATGTTGTATCGGAATGAACGCCAGAACTCGTTTCAATTGTTTCTGGTTGTTTTGTCTGATCTATGTTCGCTGTTCACCTGGTATTGCAGTGTGGAGTTCTCCGTCGGTGACCAGCCGGTAAATAATTTCCGAATGATCGAGCGCCATTTCTTCCGCGGGAAGCTGCTCAAGACGTTCGACTTTGAGTTCGGATTCTGCATTCCGAACTCGCGAAACACTTGCGAGCACATCTACGAGTTTCCCAGCATCGGTCCTGACACAGGTAGGATCGGCGGCAGTCGACGCTGCGATTTGTGATTAGTGCTCTAGTCGGGACGGTGTTCTACCTCCTGATCACGTATAATCTTACGATCGCTTACATGCGAAAACGTTTGCTATTTTTACTTCAGTGCACTGACTTATGGGTAATTGTCTTATTTGCTATTACAAGAAAAGCTCCGTTTACGGTTTTGTAACATTAGGCTCGCACTGCATTTAGACGTATTGCGCTTCAATCAGCTGTTGCATGCTTGTGATTTGAAACAGCCGTACGAACCGATGATCAGCATGCCCTTCCGCGCACTGCTGTACTCGCTTACAATTCCTTATTTAATTATTGTTTCTACGAGCCATAGACGTCACCAATCGCCCGCATTGGTTGACAGATCCTACTTATCGCATCATTTTTCTCATAGCAGCCTTCCTAACTGCTGAACGCTGATCATCCTGCCGCGTCTTATTCGTTCTATTTCGTTGTAATGCTGTACCGCCCTGGTTATTTATAATGCACCCAGACACGACAACCTTATATTAACTGCCCGACTCCACGTCATCAATCGAGCCCGCCGTAACCCGACCGGCTTTCTGAGAACGTTGCCCGTCAGTTTTCCGCCTGATCTGAGGCACATCGCGGATCGTTAGAGAGTGTCGGTGTCGTCTGAAGGTAGCGTCGCCGTCCCAGTTGGCGACGGAGGTCTGTCGTTAAGGGCGTCCCTCTCTAGTGACGGCTGCCCGGCTCCTTTGCCCTCAAACGGTGCGTCGGCGATGTAAGGACTAAGGAGGCTGCAGCACCGCCGGCCGCTCCGGCTGGCTGCGTTAGCCGTAATTGATCGGGCCACCGCCTTACTGTGCAGGGGGAGGGGCGGGGCACCGTGCACCTCTGTCGTCCAGGAGCCTAGCGCGATACAAACACGGTCATCGACCACCGCCGTCGCCGGCGACGGTGGGGCATTGAGTGCGCGACACGACGGCAGGCTGAACGCCGCAGCTGGGTCGCGGCGGCTCACCCTACCCGGCACACGGGACTAAATCACTCAGCCGGCTCAGCCACAGCCATACAGCCGCCCGTCTGCCTCCCCGGAGAGTTATTAATGGCAACCGCTGTGCCCCGTGGGGACTGGTAGGAATCCCGCTGAGATATTGGCTCTGCAGGATGACGTTGTTCGAGTACTACGGAATGTTTAGCTCTATCTAATATCTATGTTCGATATTCGCTGTACTCGAAGCGTGTGCGGGTGGATCTAGCGCTGCCCGGTATCCTGCCTCTGACGGATCATGATCAGCCGTGCTCCGTACGGCAATGTCCGTGACACGCCATACTGCTGCCGGAGCGGTCAGGCGAGGAGGTCGTCTGTCGGTCGATCGGGAGACGAGCGCCGTGGCTGTATCGGCCGCCCCCGCCCCCGCCCCCGTCCCCGTCCCGCCCCGGTCGACTACCCTCCACACCTGCCCGCCGCCCGTGGAACCGTGTATTGACGGTGCACCAGTGGTGTGTTTACACCGTACCGGGTAAACAGTTGACCGAGTTTAGTGACGTCATAGGCACCGGGCTTGATAGAGCGACGTCACTTATGAACATAGGGTTGACGTCGCTCGTTAAGACTGGATAAACTGAACTCTGAACTTGAAATAGCGTCATTGCCCGACACCGAGTTTACAAAATGTGACCAGACACTTTTCTGATAACAAATTGGGATACGAAGACGTTTTTGATAGGCGACGGTATGAAGAAACACTGGGCTGGCTTTGAAACCACTGGCCAAGTCCATTGTGCCTAACAATTCTTCTGTTTCTGTTTTCGTGGCATCGTCCCATCCTCCCGATGTGATAATGTCGTTTTTTCTCATTTTTAACGGTGGAAAAGTTGATCTGGCTTCACTACAAAATCAACCTACGCAGTGCGCACACATGACACACTTGACTTAAATCGAGTGTCAGAGACCGACTTCAATGTATCTGACCTGACTTGACCTGATCTGACCTCTCTCTTGCTTGTCCACAGTGGAGGAAATGATCCGACACCCGTACGAGACGCGCTCGGACAGCTTCTACTTCGTCGACAACAAGCTCATCATGCACAACAAGGCTGACTACGCGTACAACGGCTAGCGTGCTGTCGACGGCGCACCGACCGCTCGAAGCGACCTCTGACGCCGGGTCAGACCGGTAGGCGGGCAGAGGGTGGTCTCTGGTGGGTGGCACCGATCGGGATGAGGTGGGAACGGGGTCCAGCGGGGAGGGTGAGAGCCTGTCTGGGGGTGTGGGTGGGTCTACCGAACGGGTGGTGTCACAGTGTGTGTGGGTGTGACAGCTAGCCAGTTGGCGGTGGCCGTCAGAATGAGTGGATCGTTTCACTCGGGGACGGGTGACGCCAGAGGCCGCTAGCGCCGTCTCCGTGCGCGGGCACGGCCGACCTTGGCGCTGTCTGGTTTCCCCTGGTTTCTGAGCTCCGTCCACCGGCGTGGTATACTGGGCTGAAGGCACCCCTCTCCCAGTGCTGGGCGGCTGCCGCTGGTCTGCTGGACAGACAGTATCCCTTTCAATGCTGGGTAGCTGCTCGACAGTGCTGGAGGCAGGATCACCAACGCTTCACGCTCCCCAGCACGGACTACTGGGCCCCACTGGGCGCACTCACCAGTCCTGCACCTTCACACATGGGTTGGTTTCCACCGCGGTCGGTAGCCTCTGTGCGGGGCAGGGTAATATGTGGCGTACCCGCTGTCTTGGCGCACATTGCCTCCACCGTCTTGAAATGAGGATGTGCCGCATACGAAGACATAAGGTACCAAAGAGCAGATTTCTAGGGCTGGCGACTGGCCACATTGTCCTGCAATATGGGACACTGGTGTGGATGCTTTTTAGAATATTTTGTTATTTATTTTTGCACATCTTGAGCATGAGAAGCGGTGGTGCTGGTGGTCGATCTATGATATTTTAAGACGCTTATTTCCAGAGAGGTACCAGAGGCACGCTCTGATGTATTCTATATTGGTCATTGTGTTGATGTGTATGTCAAGCTGACCGGTGTCCTGTGCATGTTTTGTAGCGCTGTTGTGACACAAACACAGACACACACTCGCAGCTACCTTAGGCAGCCGTTCGTTTTATCTGATCTCTCTGATGTGTGATGTGGAAAATGTTAACAGGCTATGGTAATAGGGCAGCAGTGATCAGCTTTCCATCCACACTTGTCGCGCCGCCATACCTGTCATACACACGCACATACACGAAACACGCATACACATACACCATTCCGTCCTGTCGGCGCTGGTCCGGCGCGGTTGTCATGGCGACGGGTAGCACTAGGTCACGTGCTGTTGTTTGGGGAGCACCCCACGTGTCAGATCGAGCTACACTGAATCGGCCGATATTCGTGTGTTATTGTGAAGGCGATCTACGCCTAAATCCAAAGCGTGCTTTGGAATATACTGCACCTTATATTCAGCGTGTGTATTGGGAATATGAGGTTTTCAACCAGGCTCAATCTGGAGATTTTGGTGTCAGCGTTGACTTGAACTGGGCTAGTTTTTGATGGAGATGAAAGTTTGTAATTGCACTGCAAACCCCAAATCATATTGCACTCATCACTCACGAGTCACGGTTTGTTATAGTTTTGGATTTTAGCAGCGCAGCATAAAATATTAATACTGGCCCTTTATTTCGATTGCACCTAAATGACCATGGGGTTTATAGCTGTGAATTACAGTTTGTACACATCAGAACCGTTAACAAATATAAAAACACCCACGCGCCTAAAAAACAAAAGCGAGTCACTGCACCCGTTTTGTACCAGTGTGGGAAGTGAGCGGGACACTGGAGCTGAACAGTGAGCATTGAACAAAGTCACCCTTGAGAGATGGTAACCATGCATCTGGACCTCACTTCTGTGCGGTTGCAACTTTATCGAGCTCCTGCCGAAATCCCACAACAGAGTGGTGCTCGTAGGAAGGCAATTAGAAGGCTGTGCATTTTCACCGCCGTCATGAGCAGTCAATGGTGGGGTAACGCGCCGACGCTATGGCCCAGGGATGCCTCTCACTGAGCCGTTCGGACGATCTTTGAGTATTGCTGTGTTTTGGTACGGTTTGAGTCCGTATTGCAGGCCGGTCGGCTAGGCAAGGAAGTCGGGCAGTCGGTCCTCGTACCCCAGCGCCTGTGAAGAGAAAGATAAGGTATGTCACTGAGCGGTGGAACATTGCTTTTTGTTATGAGGTGCAAATTGAGGACCTATACTCGGCCGGAAAATAGCTGAAATGTGCATTGTAATAAGAAGGGCGGATTGTCGGGTATTAGCTCCTTCCACGTGTTAGCCATTTCTTAGCAACATATTTTAGTAGCATTTTGGGCTTACCTGGGCAAAGACGCGTATCAGGTAAATCGACAGTAGTCCCAGCAGGAACACGATGGTGTATTTGACGGCGCTCAGGTCGGGCACAGCGGGGTTCTTGAGCAGCAGTTTGGCCAGCCGCGTCTTCGTGGGCTCATACGGCGGGTACCGCACGCTGTGGGAAGGGAGGAGGGTCATAGGGAGAAGTAAGGACACTGAAGAATGCCAATCGGCGTTCTTAACCTTGGACGGAGAAAGACAGTTTCGTGAATGTTTGAGCTTGGTATCACTAAAAATGAATGTGATGCGATGCACAAGTTGCCGATGATATCTGCCCTGCCATCTATGGCCAATATCAAGCACTATTAGGCTCACACAACGGGGAACTAGATAGCAGCACCATCGCTGTCACCTGCTCGTCTAAGCGAACTTGACACCATCTAGGGGGAGCGGTAAGCGGGGAGAAGGATCATATCTCTCGCCGTGTCAGCCCCTCCTCGCCCTCAGTGCGCCTTACGAGCAGCAGAGCTCTGCCACGGGGTTGTAGTTGCGCTCCAGCACCGACTTGTAGTGGCTGAACGTGTCGAACGAGTGCTTGCCGTGGTAGGCGCCCATGCCGCTGGTGCCGACGCCTCCGAACGGGAGCTGCTCCACTGCCGAGGAAAAACGGATCGTTATCAGGTGGGCGCCACTGCTGTGCATTGGCAGCCTGGGGAGGCGAGGGGATTGGGAGAGGAAAGTCCCATAACGAGCGGAGATCACATCTTACTGCATAGTTTAGAATAGAATCATTAGCATTCACTTTACGGTTTAGCTTGTGTCTGATCGCGTCAGCTTAGAGCTTATCTCGTCACAAATTTGGTTTTGGCATGAATCGTTTAGCTGATTGTAATGTCATGTGTTAATAATCTCTGTTCTGTTAATTTCGCTGAAAGGAAATGTGTAAAAAGCCCAAAATCATTAACAATTCTTATCGATGACGTCTTTCGGCTCTCGACGACCGTCATACCCCTGTGGATAACCATCACGATACTAACGTGAAATAGCGGTACCTACAGCCTGTATCAGGCAGACCCAGCGCGCTGATGCGTTTAGCGATTTCCCGGACATCATCGAACCGTAACGAGTCGTCAGCTGGCGTTCTCAAACGGCAGGCTGGCTCGTCAGCACCGTCTCGCCCGTCGGCGGCGGTGTCCCTTCAGACGCGGTTATAGCTGTGTGTCGAGGACCATGACACCGTATCAACTCGACCAGAGGCCTCTTGCACTAAGCTACAGAGAATTGCAGCTAGGTAGAATCGAAAAGCCGATTACCCAACAGTGATAAATCATTGTATACCAGCCCATAACGTAAGGCTACAGGTGCTTGGTACAATTTATAGGTAAATGTTCACGGTAGAGACATGGAGTAGGTGTTCGGTACAAGAACATCCAAGGATTGATGCAAGAGGATTTTAGTGCCAGAGGCCTCAGACCTCCGTGCCTCTGTGTGACTGGAAGCAGTAGTTTAAGCCGACCCGAACTGGTTCTGTTCCTGCCGCTTCAGTCCCGGTTCGGTGCCATTCGGTCTCGTCCGGTTCGTCCAGTTCCACCTCCCCAATTTATGGCTGTCTGATGACCTTTAAAAAGCCGCCCACCTCGACCTGTGACCTCATTGGTTCTATGATCTGAACGTACTCGCCAGTTACCGATGATATGACACATGGTTTGATAACATTTGTACGGATCGTGGTGTCGCTCCATGGTACTTTCTGTCTTCCATGATAACACTCGATTCTGTGGTTACATGGCGTGGTACTCCCACGGTCTTGTGACACGTTATAGCTAGGTCGTAATGATGACATTCTTTACTGTGATTACTCACCGATGGCGTGGTACATGGTGTCGTTACACATGACCGTGCCCGAGTCGGTCTCTCGGATGAATCGGTCCTTGACATCCCGCCGACTGGAGAAGATGTACAGCGAGAGTGCGTGGGGCGTCCTGAAACAGACAGCGGGAGGGTACTTCATTATTCATGACAAAGGCAAATGTACCTCAGTGTTGACGTGGAGTTGAACGACCGTTGGTCTCCGAAGAATGACGGTTGATCTCTGAGGGCTATCAAAAATTGGTACATTGGCCGCAACTAGGTACTAACCAGTAACCAGTGTGACCACTAGCCTTCTTCCTGTTGGTATGTGACCGACTCAGGTGAATATCATCCTCAGTTTTTCATCAAAGTCAGCATATTGAGCTTGGTGTCGCGCCCTGCCCGGCTCCCTCTAACAGAAGCCGTGACCGCTCCCTCTCACTGAAGCTGAACGCGCCCCCGTTACCACTGAAGTCCTCCTGACGCACCTGGAGTTGATGAAGCGGATGGCGTCGTCGGCCGAGCTGACGGTGATGATCGGCAGCACGGGTCCGAAGATCTCCTCCTCCATCACGGGGTCCTCGGCGCGGACATCGGTCAGCACGGTGGGCTCGATGATGAGAGTCTGCTCGAAACAGCGGCCTCCGAGCGCCACCCGGCCGCTGTTCTCCAGCAGCTTCCTCACCCGGCTGGGGATGGGAGGACACCAGACGGTCAGACGGAGGAGGAACGCGAGAGGTTACGTGGGAAGACGCGAGACGGTGAGATGGGAGGACACGAGAGGGTCAATGGACGGTCATGGGGCGGTCAGATGGATGTACAGTGTGCATGAGAGGTGGACATACTACAGTCAGACGAGCATGGCATGGCACGATGGATACTCGTCAGAGCGGCACCGAATATCCAATGCAGCCTATCATATTCCTCCGTCGGTGAAAGCGTCCATTTCTGATGTGCCATCTACTGAGCTGCACCGCCGCCCACCTGAAGTGTCTTTTGTTGAGCATCCTTCCGAGTGACGGAGAATCTTCGGGCCGCTCTCCGAACCACTGATGCAGCACACGTCTACCGGCCTCCAAGAACGCTTCCTCTGTGGCCTTTGTGCAGAGCAGGTAGTCGGGGGCGATACACGTCTGTCCCAGGTTCACGGTCTTGCCCCAGAGAATGCGCCGGGCTGCGTACTCCATGTTGACGGAGTCGTCCAAGTATACCGGGCTGGAAACCGGCAGAAAGGGACGGTCAAAAGGCTATCCGGGACAGGGTCAGAAACATTGGGGCCAAACAGACATCCTTGTAATTGCGAGACAGAAAGTGTCACATTGCACAAGCAGCAAGAGGAAGAACGACGGGTCGGAGCAACAACTGTTTGTTTGCGGGACAAAGGCTGCCTCATGCTCAAACTGTCAAATGTAGCTCATTTGACGGCCGAGAAACGTGATGTGATATCGCAGACGTCGAGAAGATCCAAGACATAACTAGCAGCATTCGTCCGATGAGAACCTTCCTCCCGTGCGCACCTCTTGCCTCCGAGCTCCAGTGTGACGGGCGTGAGGTGCTGGCTGGCCGCGGCGGCCACCAGCCGGCCCACGGCCGTGCTGCCCGTGAAGAACACGTGGTCGAAGCGCAGCTGCAGCAGCCGCTGGCTCTCTGGCACGCCGCCGCAGACGACCGGGTAGCAGGTGGAATCCAGGTAGCGGGGCAGCCGGTCGGCCAGCAGGGCGGCCGTGGCGGGCGCCAGCTCGGACGGTTTGAGCACGGCGCAGCAGCCGGCGGCGATGGCCCCAGAGAGCGGCAGCAGCGACAGCTGCAGCGGATAGTTCCACGCCGACAGGATGAGCACCAGGCCGCGCGGCTGGGGCCGCACGTACGGCCAGTCCAGCAGGGTGGCCAGGCTGCGACCCACCTGCACGAGGAGGACCGGGCGGTCAGAACACCGACACCGGTCACAGCAATTACAGACGGGGCTCGCAACATTTGGAGATGATGAAGACTTTCACTTTCTTATGCAATTCGCTTTTTATTTCGTTTCTTTTTATAGATACCGTTCTAATTCAATTCACAATTTTGTGTTTCTTGTTTTTGTTTTAGTTGCTAGTTAAATATGTTCCTTATGACTAGCGCGAAACCACCTTATCAACGCATCGTCTGTTGCTCCAATATTCGTTGCACGTTCTCACCGTTTTCTGTTGGGACCAGTGTTCGACGTTGGCCAGCATCGTCTTGACGTCCCTTAGCAAGAGAGAGATCTCAGCAACGATCGTCTCATCCGGTATCTGCGAATGGAGAGAGAGAGAGAGAGAGAGAGAGAGAGAGAGAGAGAGAGAGAGAGAGAGAGAGAGAGAGAGAGAGAGAGAGAGAGAGAGAGGGAGAGAGAGAGAGAGAGAGAGAGAGAGAGAGAGAGAGAGAGAGAGAGAGAGAGAGAGGGAGGGAGGGAGCATGATATTGGATGGTGTGCGCAGCAGGTCAATAGTTATTATTTGGTTTGCCGTATTCCAAAAGATGCTTTTTAATGGAAGTTGTATACATTTAGTGCAATTATACGTTATAGATGTTTGGTACATGTCATGTTATATCATATCACTGTTATGAATGACTAATCGATTGGTGTACAATTGTACTTACATGCTTAACTGTTCAGCAATGCCGAAAATTTATTGGGTACGTTATGTCTGATTGCGTCAGTGGCCATATATCGACAACAATTATTGGTATGCTTTAAGTTCACTTACCTTTGTAGGATAATTTAGCGTTGTACATCATTGTATTTATTTATAACAAATCGTGTTCATTCTATTTATAAACCTGCTTACCCTTCCCAAGTCTGCATACACCGCGTCAGCCAGTTCGGTCTCATTTTCCTGATAGAAATGGAGCAGTCCGCGCAGGTTCGCCTTCCGGAATTTAATGTCGGTTGTCTTTCCGGACTGGAATTCCCTCCTGGCTATCTCGACCACCTGAAACAGCGTTAATAGGACGTCGGGAGTTTAGTTGTGTTTATTCTGCATCGTAGACAGTGTTTACAATTGCTTCACGTGCAAAAGGAAAAAATTAACAGGTGTCGTGCAACTGATTTGTTAAACGTCTAGACGATTAGCAAACTTTTAAACGTCTAGTAGACATTTCGTCTAGTCTGAAATATGTCATATTTTTATCTAAATTGTATTTTTACCTTTAAGCGCCCGAAATATATCGGTGGTACGGGATAAATTATAAAACGGCTCGTAGGTAGACAAATCCTTTAAACGTTGAGCCGATAGACGAGACGTTTAAAATATTTCTCTACCTACTTGCGGTTAAATCATTTTATCCCGTACCGCTGATATCTTTCGGGCGCTTATAGGTAAAAAACTTATTTTATATAAAAATACGACATATTTCAGACTAGACGAACTGTCTACTAGGCGTTTAACAGTTTATTAATCGTCTGGACGTTTAACAAACCATTTGCACTGCACGACATCTGATCATTTTCTCTCTTTGCACGTAAAGCAATTGTAAACACTGTCTACGGTGCGGGATAATATACGTATATATTATACACGGGCTTACTGGTAAATGTTACCTTTTTATCCTTTATCTCTTAAAATTCATAGACGAAGCTCTGGATACATCGATTGTTTCCGAACATTTAATTACCGTTCTTGCATCCTTAATATCTTTCTTACTAATGGTGAACAGTTTGATTGTTGTTGGTGGCGATGCTAGGTATAACCTCTACCACATCCAAATATTCATTGTTCTTGCCTGTCTACCGTTGGAATCGATGCTACTTAGATATTTGTTAGAGCAGGCTGGACCAAGATGGCTGGTTAATCTTGAGCGAACTATATCAAAATTATTTTCTTTTGATGCGAATGTATATCTTATGCCCTGAGAATACACAATTACTTTGGCAATAAAGTGGTGCATGCTGTCCTTGTGCAACAAGTCTGTGCAACAAGTCTTGACCGGTATTGCCGGTATGTTTTGCGGTGTGGAAAATGGCGAAAGCGGATTTCTCTCCGGAAAACTTTGGGACATTCACTCTGCCTTTCTCCAAATATCTAATGTCATATTCTCCTTTTGCAATGGCTCCCGCCGCGACGGCTGCATCGCTGGAAAGTTTTTGCGCCTTAGCAAGACCGGCAATCCTATGCGTTGAGTGTCAAATCAAATGGGACAGATGCGCTCCCGAATCTTGAAAGCTGGACATGGATGCAGTTCTTCTAATAGAGTGACTAGAGAAACAGCTTTTACCCACTTCTTGCAAATCTATTTTCGTACCGGCGTCTTCGATGCGGTCGTAGATGGCTCATAAAATGGCAGTTTTTGTTGTGTGACTGGATGCCTTCCTCTTCATTGACAGTCATGCGGTAGGCATGTGACTTGAACCACCGAGTCTTTGTGAACTCTCGTTTCTAGTCGCATGATCATCTCGCATGCAATTAGAAGCAAAATGCAATATGCAGCAAAATAAAAACCTGGCGATTTTATGCATATGATTACCGGCTTACGGCTATCGTTAAGTCCTACAGGTTTAATTTTCAAATGAATGATTAATTTGTATTTTGTATTGAGGTTTATCTGCGCTGAACTTACTGTGTCTCCAGGGAGGGTGAGATAATAGCGAAGTGCCATGCTATTTAAACAATCATTTCTTCGATGCTTAGGTAGGTCAAAATGTGTAGGCATCTTGTAAAATGTGCATTTACTCCTGAAGCAAATCAGCGATGGCATGCTTAGCGCAAATTACAGGTAGCATTAATTAATCATGCCATCTAAAGCTCACGCGAGTCGTCACTCACGGCACTCGGCCCGCTGCAGCACCGCGCCGCGGTGTGGTGTCACCATCTTGTTATGGAGACAAATTTACATTACGCGCTACGCACACATCCTTGTTTGCGTATTAGCGCAGCTCTGTAAGTACATCATCACCTCCGGAAACTCATGTTTGTCAGTGTTTACAGCTTCCTCTCACAGTGTTGTGTATCCCGAGCCGGCTGTAGAGAATGGGCCACACCTCAAGACATTTCATTCACCATTGATCCAAAGTCCAATCCGTGCACAAATCCCTCGTCGCCGTCTTTCCTGTTCCTATTTATGGCACGGCCGATGCCGTCGCCCGGTCGATGTCCGAGTTGCCCTCGGGCGGTTACACCGTGCGCTCCGATTACCACGAGCACACCAGTCAGGATGACTCGGCGTCTCGGGCGACGGCGCGGCGCGTGAGGGCGGTGTACGCTCCCCCCGGGCGTTTCGCGACCGCTCCGCCGCCCCGTTAGGCGGCGATTTTAGGAAGCGCCACAACTCTCCGGTGGCTGCTGATGGCCGGCGCGGTAACGTTACGTCATGGGATGTTACCCGACTTAAATGAGCGCGCGAGGCTGTTTGCGTTGATGTCTTGATGCCTGGATTGTTTTGCATTTATAGCGTACGACGTCGTAGTCGGATTGTGCTGGCCGTTACCTCATGGTTTGAGGAAAAGATTGCATGCATAAAAAGCTTAAACATCCTCAAACGTGCTATTAGTCCATGCTCGGAACTATGGTGAATTAGTTTCTACGTGGTTACGCACTTACGTTTCAATTCAAAGTCGCGTTCTTGGAGTCCATAAATTTTAACTGCTTACTTGATCACCGGTAGGTACTGAAAGTGAAGGATGGGTTATAGGTATGGTGCAACTGGACCTTAGTCCTTAGGTATGTGGTTGATTAGAATCTAATGATAAGATGTGTGTACGACACGTGTGAATCTCTTGCTTTATATTTGAAATACTTGTGTATTAGGAATTTGGATCTTTCGTGAGGGCCATTTTCTCAGATGCACAACCGCTATACATGTAGCCATTGCTCATGGTTCTGTTGTTGTTGTGGTCAACAATAATGTACGCATTAGGTATTCATCTAGCGGGATTGACTGACCTGTTTGTACTATAAGACTCTACGCAAAATAAAACAGTTTTATCATTACATTACTGGAAAAAATATTGAACGCTAAATGCTCATCCGTTTAGGTAAGATTCGGCTTCATTAACCCGCGCCCCGCTGGGCTATTCAGCCATACGCGCCCTGCTGGGGGGGGGACAAATTCTGCCCCCCCCCTGTCTAACTTCCGAACCGATGGTCGTAGAAAGACGGGGAAACGGCAATCGAAAGCTCTCAACAAGCGGATCTTAAGAGCCCAATTTTTTTTTTGCTTAAGTATGTCAGAGGTCAGGTCAAGGTCAGGTCAAGGGTACAAATTGCAAGTTTCTACAGTATCGGCCTTGCACCATAGTTGCCGAAGAATGGACCGAGACTGATTGCCCAAAACGTGTTCTTAGGCTGCCAAGACAATATTCGTTGCATACAATATCATTCAAATGTCAAGGTCAAGGTCAGGTCAGGTCAGGTCAAGTCACCAAAAACAAAATATAGAAAAGGGTATGTGCGACACATGTTTTATGGGTCATTTTAATAATAGAATTCAATAGGCACACTCAATAAGTGATATGGACCACATCTGGATGAATTTCAGGTCGAGGTCAGGTCAAGGTCAGGTCAAGTGAGGTCAAATTTTGAAGTTGGCTTTTAAAGCCTAAAAAGGTGTTTATCTGATGCAGTTTTTCACGGCAAATCGAATGGTGCAATTTTTGTTTCCGTACGAGGTCTAAAACTTCAAAAAAATCATTTTTTTTTTTCAAAAAAAAAATTGTGTCATGACGTCATAAAATTTTGAATAACTCCCACATTTTTGAACAGATTTTTCTAAAAATTGGTATATAGGTGCACATGGACCACTTCTCTGACATATATTCCGTTTTTTCATACACTCAAAATTTTGGATTTTATAATTTATCTCCCAAAAAAGTCAGTTTTTTTAATTTGGGCCAAAATCCAAACTTAAAAAACCGAGATAGCCATTTGATAGACAACGTAAAATCACGTATAAACCTTTTTGTTACGTCTTAATTTCTTTAAAAATGAAGATGTTAGCGGCGTTTGAAATTTTGCCGTTTTTGAGGCGAAAATGGCGAACATGACGTTACTTAAACGTCATTTTCTCAATAATTTTCCGACGGATTTCGCTTAAATTTTCAGGAAACGTGTCAAATTGATGTATGATAAGGTACTGAAAGTTTGACGTCGCTGGCTTAACACGTTTAGAAGTGATTGGCGAAAAACGGGAGGGGGGGCATATTCTGCCCCCCCCCCCCAGCGGGGCGCGGGTTAAAGTCATTTTCGGAAGCCCTACGTGTTTTTGATATGGTAAGGATGTTTATCAGCTCCGACAACTTTCGTCTAGTGGATCATACGGTTACATACCTAACTGAACCCTGGTATTTGTTTTTCCCTAAAAGCTTATCAAAACCGGTCAACCGTCAGTAACCCGTTTTTGCTATCTGTGGATCTCTTCCGCTTCGATAGCTTTGCGCGATATCTAACCGGGTGTGTGGGTCAGCGGTGCGTTGGCCTACTTGTCCTCTAAGTGCTCACACCCCGGCTGTTCGGTCCCCCGGCTTTCCCGGCCGATTAGCGGGATGGGAGCTGCTCCGTGTGAGTGCGCGTGTGCGTCCTGCGCCCGCCCGGCGCCGGCTAACGGTCCGTCCTGAGGAACGGGGGCAGTCCTCCCTCCTCCCAGCAGGGAGGTGTTCGCTGCTGCGCTGAGAGAGATGAACGGCCATCGCACGTGGACGGCGGCCAGCTACGGTATCACGGGTCCTGTGGTCAGCACTGACCTTTTGAGTCGAGGCTGCAGTATGCAGCCGGAGCTTCTGCATGCATTTGATGTGATCACTCTCTAAGCCTTGATTTACGAGGCAGGAGCCCAACCATGTATGGAAGCTGGTTCTCCGTACATTATGCAGTAAGCAGCTTTTCACTCCATCGATAGCTTTCCTTGCTGCGGTTTGGGCCTGCTTGGACAGTGGACACAACTACTAATATTCGATAACGCTTTGAAAGTCGAAAAACTTGAATATTGTGTTTTTACCAAAACCCATGCATTTGAATCTTGGCCCCTGTCGAATAACATAACTGTGCTGTATTAAATGTAGGCATTATAATGAAATGGAACTCTCTCTCTCACTATCTCACACTCACCCCCGAACATACCTTTATGTGTAAATGAAGGCTACAGGCGACACAGTACACACTGTACAGTAAGCGTAGCATTGGAATGGGTTAGAATGGTGAAATGATCAGGTGGTTCTGCATGGGATCCCACCCCTTGGGAAAAGGCTCGAGAAAACTGCAACATCGTTTTTGGCCTAAACCGTAAAGCTCTTCAAAATCATAAAATCAGATTACCTTTATAAAGAGTAAAGACAATGCTACCGTCGTTCGGCTTCGTTGGCTGGATGCCATAAATGCGTCAATCGCTGGTCCTCGACTCCGTTTTCACGTCACCGGTCAGATTCAGTTTCACGGACTGTTTTCATCACGCATATCAATTCAAAATATCTCTGAAGTTTTTTCAGTCACAGAACTATCATTTGTTTCTGCAGGTATTGTTTTTTTCTGCGCTCACCGAGCAGCTTTCAGTCACATATGAACTCATTTTCGGAAATGGTGATGAGGCAATAAGAAATTTGAGGTTAACTGCGTGAGAAGAGCACATTTCTCGCGCTTTCCTGAGCCCGCACAATTCAGTAAACGGGATTGCGCCTTTCCGCTATGGTAGTAAAACGATGCCGTGGAAAGGTTGTGGCCATCCAGTCGCGAAAATAGCGGACGGGGGAATACCGCTTTATGCAGCCGCAGTGTTACCTTCAATTCCTGTAATAATTAAAGTAACTTGTACTTTTGCCAGAATCTGCAGCCAGCCGCCGTACATATTACAGCTGATCAAGGTCATCGGGTGCGGCCGCGGGAAGGGGCCACGGCCGGCCACTGCAGATAGTTAGTGCCGATATCAGAGCCGGCGCCGGTACCTGTGCAGTGTGCAGTGGGCATCTGGGTGCACCGCTGGCGGCACGGACAGTGGGGCGCGGCGGCGGCCCCGTCCTGACCTACTCGCAGTGCCGGTTCGACCAGGACGCACCTTCCCAGGACGACCGGCCCGCCGTCGGGCGCCGCACGTGTTACGAAATATCCGTCCAGCAATGGGGGCACGGACATTCACAGCCAGCCGGTATAGGTTTGTGCCGATGCCGGTCCGCCCGGCGTGTTACCAAGGGAAGCTCAGTGCGATGGTCGAGTAGCTGCGTAACTCATGGATGCTTGGAGAGCTGGCACGCGTTATGAGCAGCGATGGGTATGAGAATTGGTGGTCAGTGGACGGCCTGTGTAATGTGTATAAATACAGTGAGCTCATGTGTGAACACCGGATACGCATGACTGAGCGAGGATAGCAGGGAAAGCGATGTATTACATCATAAATACCTATCGTGGGTGGAATAGTAGTTAAAATCTGACTTCAGGTATCACAACAGAAATGTGACAAATGTGGAACATTCTTTACGGAGTAGAGCGTTATTTATTTGGTCCTTCGATGCGGTGTGGATCGCAGGAGTCACTGAGCCATATATGTATATGCGAAATGTGATTTAGATGAATTCAAGGCATTGCTACCATACTACGACTAAAACATTCCTAAGCAAAGAGTTCCATCCTAGGTACATTTCCAACGGCAACGTGTGCTGTTCTGTCGATATGTTCAGCTTGTTACGGAGTGAGCGGAGCGGAGCGAGCCATTACGTAGAATAGCAGAAATTTCTGAGTATGACCGGCCGGCCGGCCGTGCGGACGCTTTTGCGAGGCTTATATCTCAGCAACCACTTGACCGATTTACACGCGGTAATTTTTGTAGGGTAGCTTCATTCCTTCTACCAAGTATTGAACTATTCCGATGCAAGTGGGTGACCCCTTATGCACGTGCCACGTGCAAAACGAAGAGGTGTCAGTTTTGCAACAATTGCAATATCTCGGTAATTACTGGGCCGATTGCAATGCGATGACACTTGGCATGTATAGGTAGGCATCCACCAGGCAATGCATTCCCATGTGTCAAGGTTGGGGTGCTGCTGCACGTGCGCACGCGCATGGGTTTCTTTCCAAATTTCAAGAACGGCTGGACCGATTGCGCTCAAATTTGATACACGGTTAGGAACCGGTTAGAAGGGTGCCGTGCAAAAGTGAGCTGAGACCCAGTTTGCACGTGTGCATGTGCTGGGTATCGCTTTCAAGTCTCGAGAACTGTTGGGCCGATTGCGCTCAAATTTGGCACATCGCTAGAGACCGGCGGCCATGGATAATTCATTTGGAAGTACCCCCTCGCAATTCTGCCGTACGTGCGAGGCTCACCCTCTCGCTCGCTCGTTTGTCGACCCAAAAGGCGTTTCAGTTTTTTTTTTTTACATGGCTCGTAGGTTAACTGGGTAGTAAGTGTCTTCTGGGTAGTCAGATAATTCGGGCTGAAGACCGCAATTTTCAATGCAACTTTCTGAGGAGTTGCATTTTTTTGTTAACACCGACAGCGGGTAAAACGTAACGGGTAACGGGAAACTTTCCCGTTGGCCGTTACCCGAAATTGTGCGATCGGATGGTAGGGGTCGAGGCCTGTAAGTGTACAACAAGGTCTGATAAGCCCGGGATTCGGCTCTGTCAATTGGTGCCTTCAAATATTCAAGCTGAATTTCTATGATCAAGTCCAAAAATATGTGCATTTTTATAAGCACAGGAGGTATAGGCCTTCACCTGGCCGATAAAGCAAATGTAAAAACTGCTTTATTCGGCTCTAATTTGGCTTTTACCTTTGACTTTTTAGACAGCTATTTATGTCTTGTATTCAAGCATGCATTGTGCATACATCCTTATATAAATCCTCAGACCCTAATAAATCCTAAATAAAACAAAATGATAGACATGATCTCTGGCAACTTCTAGGTACTAAACTGCCAGGGAACTCAGGTTTGCTTATCCGATAGAAAAACAATTACATCGAAAGTTGTTTAATGTTTTTGATCATAAACCTTCGGTTTCGTTTCACAATAAACTTATCGTCCAATCAATCAACTAAACTGGTGTATGTGGGTACCATTATGAAATCCGTAACAAACTGTTTCTGTAAAAACTAGATATTCGGATGGTTACGCAGGACAACCGCGGTTAGGGCCTAACGGAGCCCTGAAGGACATAAATATGTGATTAATTGTAACTGCCTGATAACTTGGTATAATATATATAAAGTTATTTAAAAAAATGCTGACTGAGTCGTAAGCATCAAGGAATGTTCTTCAGAACATGGATCCAATATCCAGTATGACCGTATTACTCATGCATATAGAAGCTAGTTGCTGCCTGATTGATTAGCCTGCTTTGCAATATTTCGCGAAAAGTAGAGTTATCTCATGATAAGCTTATAGGTAGGTAACTGGACACAACATGGGCCTCGAAAACTATATTTTTGAATAGAACTTGTGGGCGTTGTTTCTTACATATTCTAAAGTCAGCTTTGTAAATATGCATAAAACTACTAATATATTAGATGCGCTATATGTAGTTCGAAGAAATCATACCTGCGAGAAGTCTTGGGTATTCATGTTAATTTGCAGCGTTGCAGCTTCGCAACTTTACGGATCGTCGCTCCCACGTCTTCTGTTCTCTCCGTCGCTCCGTCTTCGTCACTCTATCCCCGTATTTCCGTCACTCTATCACTCAGTTTCCTCTAACTCGTCTCTCCGTTTCTCTGTCACTCTATCACTCTAACTCGTCTATCGGTGTCTCCGTCACTCAGTCTCCTTTAGTCTGTCACTCCGCCACCTGGTCTCTGAGGCACGCCGATGTGACCGGGGCGCCGCTGATAGCCGGGTCGCGCGCGGCTCGGCGGCGGCGCGTCGACTGGTCGCTGGCGTCGCGTCGACTGGGCGCTGCCGGTCGGTATACGGTCGCGATTCGGGGGTGACCGGCACCGCCCGCGGCGTGGCTGACGGCGGCACAGCGGCCTCGGTCGACAACGGACGGTGACCGGACACCCATCGTCAGCGGCTGTGACGGGCGACCGCGACTGGACGGTGACGCTGTGAGATTGTTGGCACTCTGAGCACGGCGAGTTCGAGTCAGGTGCGCCCCCGGTGCCGGTGGCTGACCGCGGGAGCCGGAGTCGGTGCACTATGTCGCGCTGACAGATGCGGTGTCAGAACCATGCCGCCATCCCAGGCCTGGCCGGAATGGACGCTGAGCCGCCATGTGTCAGTAGACCGGGCCTCGGACAATTTATGGGAGGTGCGGGAAGGACGGCGTCCCGTCGGCCGATGACCGGGGCGGACCGCTATACGCGGCGGCCCCATTGGCCTCGACCAGCGCGGCGCGGCGGTGGGAGAAATGGATGGTCGTCGGGTCAGGCTTCAGCTCGATGTCCTGACGTATTGTTCATGCATCTTCATCCTCGCCCGAAGTTAAGAACGATTAGATAGTGACGAGATATATGTCCTGTCAGTTGCAGCAGAACACCTTCAATAAAGGGGGGGGGGGCACTGACGACTTTTGGTCCCATTCTTTCCATGCAACGCACATAGGGCTAATGTTAAAATGCCCAAGTCAAAGGGGGGGGGCACGGTGCCCCGGTGCCCTCCTCGTTCCGCCGCCTATGTGTCCTGTGGCGACAGTAGTTTTCGGAAAGAATTTGGGGCACTTTCCAGTCGTTGGCCTGGCGACAGGTCTGGCTAACATCCTGTCCACGGTGTAACTACAAATAAACATGTGGCGCAAATTCAAAACCCATAAATCAAATTATTGGTTTCTTAACGGGAGCCTCCGGTGCGGCAATTGGCGACGGGCAATTTAGGCATTCAGCATGGAGGACCCCCGGGAGCTCTTCCAGCTCCGTCGCTGGATAAGTCGACACCTTTCAGTGGGGCATCAGTGGCCACTGATAGCGACAGATGGCTCGACTGCAGTAGGCCAGGCGAAACGATCAGTGCCGCCTCAGGAGCTAGTGAACTGGGTGACCTATATCTTTGACGGTTGCGATGATAAGATGCCTCGATCTAAAGTAGCAGATCAGTTGCTGTTGTTGCTAAAATGCGATGCGAAGCGACCACATCATTGCCAGTGTCGTGCACGGCTCGGCCGCGTGTGACCTGCGGTTCGTATGGGTGGCTGCGACTGCAAACCGCGCTCGGAGCCAATGCCCCGCGCCGCTCCGGTCCGCGGCTCCTGCACTGCAGTGTGCCAGTTGACACGGTAGGGTGGTATTGGGACAGCGCGACCGTTCTGTAATGCAGCTGTGAGGGAGTTTTTCTCAATACAGTTGTTTCACCAATAGAGATAACGAAAGCGCAGCATACAGCGCACATTGTTGGTATTGTGTAACATTCAAATAAAAACAACATTAGCAGAGTGTTTCGCATAATGTGGAGTTTCATCAAGATATGCTGTGTTGGCTGCAGGAGCTAATAGTTACAAGTCACCACTGAAGTAATATGAAGTATCCGTAGTGGCATAGATAGACCACTAAACATCATAGTGGACTATGTGGTAGAACACATACCGATATAGACCACTATAAAGTGGTCTATTTTAGTGGCAAAGGTTTGCCTCTGTATCTTAGGAACTATTTTCCGACTGTCATGAAACTTGGAATGTAGCTTAACCCTCGCCCTGGCAGGGCATTTTTCATAACACGGCCTGGCAAGTGGCAGGGGGGGGGGGGGTTGATGCGACCCCCTCCCTCGCGATTGGCTCCTATGGCACCTAGAAACACCAAATTTGGTAGGTAGGTGGGCCCTCTGGAGTTCTCGCCCTTGTGCAAATTTGGTTGCTCTAGGTCATTATTTAGGGGGGTTTTGGGGGGTATAAATGTAAAAAAATTCGCTAAAAACAGGTCAAAAGTTTTTCGCTTATAACTTGTGATCTAATTAAGATAGAGAAAAAAGAAAAGCACCAGTGAACTCAGCACACCAAGGTGCGTCGAATGATATACTATTTTGCTTGCTTAAGTGTACTTAAAGTTTTTCTTAACTTTTAAGTAAACTTTAATTAATTAATTAAGTTCAAATTGACCAAATTGCATCATATCGCATATCATTCGATTCGGCTGATCACCAGGAACACAACGACACCATTTTTTAAGCTCTAGCGTCATTATGTGCCAAGTTATTGGCAAAAACGTCATTTGACCTCAGTTGACCTCATTTGACGTGACCCATGGATAAGTACACCAAACAACGAAGCACCAAGTGACCTGCTGTTAATTACTATGGTTTCAAAGCACGAAAGTGATAGAACGAAGTAGATATCTCCAGTATTTTCCAAATTTAGTATTTTCTCATAGGCTTAACATTACGACGTAATGACCTCTAACTGACCTCAGGTCAGTGACCTCAAAAAACCCGAGCTATATGTTATACAACTAGGTGAACTTAGCACATCCTGAAAGTTTGAAGGAAATCAGTCCAAAGCTGTGAGTTGGACAGGTGCAAAAAGAAAATTGAAATTTGACCATGACCTTGTACCGGTTTTTCTGACCTGGTGACCTGACCCAAGGTCACCCGGACTTGAAATTTTCAGGTCATATGTAAAAAGGTTGCCGCATAGGCTGTGCCAAATGTGGCGGCGCGCAGCCGTTTTTACGCTATCTTCGAAAAACCTTAGGGGGGTTGCATCAACCCCCCCCCCTGCCAGGGCGAGGGTTAAATGTTCCGTCATCTTTGCAGCTGAAGGTTATCTTTGTGTGTCCACCTATGGATCACTCCGTTTTTAAAACTCGTTCGATCAGAGCCATCTGTTGAGGAGCTTTGTACTAAATTCCTGATTACGCCTTCTATTGCCTTGATTACGCCACTGCACTGATGCCCCAACCACGTGACTCTGCAGCGAACCAACTACCGTTCTTGTAGAAAGCATGAATGACGCCAGCCGCCAGGTGCCCTGCGTCGAGGCTAGCGCCTCTCGGTTGTTGCGTGACCGAGAGTCGGGTCGCGGAGCGAAGTCAGTGGGACGTCAGTCAGCCTTCCTTAACCCGCGCCCTGCTGGGGGGGGTGTTTGAACACCCCCCTTGTGGTTTTTCGCGAATATCTCAAAAACGGCGGCGCGGAGCGCCGCCGTTTTTGGTACACCTTATCATACATCAATTCTACACATGTTGTGGAAATTTCAGACCAAGGTCATTCAAGGTCAGGTCACCAGGTCACTTGAAGTGACCTCACCTCATAAAAAGTTTCAATGTCTGTCATAGCTACACCGAGTGACCGATCGCTTTGAAACTTTCAGCGATTGCTGAGAGCAATAGCATGTACAAAATGTATATCTTAGAATTTTGATATCGATGACCTAAGGTCAGGTCAATTTTGCGACCTCCCCATTATAAGTCAATGGGAGAAAAATGAAATGCGTCTCTTTTGGACGAAAGACATTATAAACACTCCCAAACACCGAATTACAAGTGGTTTAGACACACTGAACATGAAAATGGTGTCCGTGACCCTTGTTTATGCCCTGAGGTCATCTTAGGTCACGAATGGTATCTAACAGTTTTTCGCAAATAACTTTTGATAGAGGCATGCTAGAGCGATGAAAATGCCTTATATGTGTTCAGCTCGACGATACGGATCGACTGATATGCAACATGACCCTTTCCGGCCAGGTCATGACCTTGACCTGAGGTCAAATTTTCAAGTTGACCTTTTAAGGTCAAGTTATAGTTCATTCGATGCGTCTTGACGAGAGGAACACGATGCCGGTGAAAGTAAGCTCGTACAAGGCTTGGGTCAAAAGTTATTGCAGAAAAACTGTTTCCGAAAAAATCGGCTATTTTTGCAGTTTTTGCCCCCTGCAGGCAAAACCGTTGACGTTAGGTCAAATCTGAGAGAATTACTCAGAAAGGGCGTTAATAGGGCTATCGAATGCACTTTTCCGCGGCGCTGTAGCTCTATTGGTTCCCGAGTTATGCGTTGGCTTCTTGGAAATTTTCGACATTCGACCTGGAAATCGGCGAAATTTTGCCTTCAATGACCTCTGGTGACCTGACCTTTGACCTGACCAAAAAATTGACCGAAGTGATTTCGTCATTATTTTTTACGCTCTTTCGAACGCCGCCTTCCGCGTATCGCTACGTGGCCCAGGAGCCGAGTTAGAAGGGGGGGTGTTCAAACACCCCCCCCCCCCCCAGCAGGGCGTGGAAATCCAGGACCCCCAGCAGGGCGCGGGTTAACCGACTGCGGGCTGGCGGAGCGCTGGGCGGCGCAGGTCTGCTAGGTGCAGGCAGACCCGCCTCTGCGCCACCGAGCGTGTTGATAGTTCTTTCTTGGGGTAAATATGGAATGTATTCGTGGCGCACGTGCCGTTTACATGCTTAGGGCAGGATGCATGTTGCATAGTCTAGCCACCGCGCCGCAGCAACATCACTTGTCTGTGTCGTTTCGACACTTTGCACATCGCTTCTGACGAAGTCACATCACGACTCACTTACCACTTGCCAATATGACGTCAACTGAGTTTTATGATGATAAAGGGCTCATCCACTTTTTTAAATTTAGGAATGATATAATTCCCTACACATGAATATGATTGGCCAACAACTGATGACCGAACAAGATTACCGAATGTCGATTATGTTCAAAGTGCATAGGTATAAGATCATAATGTCAAAAATACTTATGTCGCCCGAGCGGGCCAGAAATACAAATCAGTGAAAAACAGACAGCTCCGATGCGAACCGAACCCGCAACCTCCTGCTGATCCTAAACCTGACGCTAAACCGCTCCGCCACGAAATTACTGCTCTTCTGTACTGCTCTCAGGGCGGTGGTCGCTATGTGGTGAGTGATTTAGCGTGTGTTCGGCACCTGGAAAATGAGGGATAAATTTCCCCAATCACTCTAGGATCATTTGGTATTGTAAGTTGACACCTTGCACAACGGACATGACAACGAGTAACAGAACCATTAGCGAAACAATAACAATCTAAAAACGTGACTAATCGTAGCGTTTATCCCTACAATACCGAAAAGTTACAGGTGATCCTGGAAAATTATCTATAATTTTCCGGATGCCGAACACACGTTTAGCCCGCGTCCCGTAGGGCTATCGGCGGACCCTATCCACCCTTGGGGGGGGGGGGGGGGGTCGCCCTCCTAAGATCTCGGAAAGTTACCGGCCGATTTTCAAAATTCAAACGGTGTTCGATAGCCCAATTGGGGAACTACCTTGTAACCTAATTCCATTGATCTCGGTCCAACCGATGACGTCACAGGTCAGGTCAAAGGTCGCATTTTCACCGTTTGCAGGCATTCCAAGAAATGTGTTTTAAAATCGAGTTAAAGGCATGTTAACCGAAAATCATCAGCGGAGAATTGTTCGTGGAACACATAGGCCAGCATGGGCCTTCAGAGGTCAGCGTGGGGCCTTAAAAGACTGGCATTAGCCGGCGTTGGACCCAGAGGCCAGCAGAG